TATATATATATATATAGATCTATATATATATATATATATATATATATATATATATATATATATATATAGAGCATCTTCAACAAAAAGTTAATGAAAAGATAAAATATTAATAATCAACCTCAAAACAATTTTTTTTTTTTTATTATTTTTTTTTATCATTGGAGATTATACATTATTTGGTTAAATAATTCAACCACTCCATATTAAGAAATCCTTGGTTGGATGTCTTTAATAAGACTAACACCTCTTTAATAAATAATATTTTATTTTACTCTCTAATTATAATTAAATTTTAAATCTTTCTTATTTATTAACTAATTGATTTCTTTTAATCAATATCAAAATAATATTTCATTTTAGTGTTTGATAATTAATATTTACTTTTTAACTATATTATAATAGTTTTGGTATGATTTAAATATATAGGTAAGAATTTACCATCTTTTTTATTTTGGGAAAAAACATTGAAAAATCATGTTGTTAGTTTTGACTTTTTGTGACACCGTCATCTTATTATAATTTTTTTGTTATGTTGGCAAAAGAATTAATCCTCTCATAAATATTTTGACAAAATATAACACTATCTCGTATTTATTCTTCAAAAAGAATAATAAAAATAAGAATTTTGTTGACATAACAGACGAGAACTTTTATTATAGAAGATGTTGTGCGACAAAGATAAAATGAAAATGGAATATATATATTATCTATATATATATAATATATATATTATATATATATATATATAATATATATATATAGGGTTAGGTTCATGTGAGACGGCCTAATTTGTGAGACCGTGAGACGCATTTTTTTATTTTTTTTATTCTTTTTTATTTTTTTAGTTAATTCAAGTTCCGAAAATAATATTTAAAAAAAGAATTTTTTGATTTTTCCATTTATTTTGCATTTTGAAATTATTTTTTAGAATATGTACGGTGTAATATTCTATTAGAATATTTCACGTATTTTTCAAAAAAAATAGGATTTTTTTTATTATTTTTTATTTTTTTCAGTTAATTCAAGTTCCGAAATAATATTAAAAAAAGAATTTTTAGATTTTTCCATTTATTGCATTTTAAATTATTATTTTTTATCTATGTCAGTGTAATATTCTCTTAGAATATTTCACGTATTTTTCAAAAAAAACGGGATTTTTTTTTATTTTATTTTTATTTTATTTTAATTTTTTTTAGTTAATTCAAGTTCCGAAAATAATATTTAAAAAAAGAATTTTTGGATTTTCCATTTATTTTGCATTTTAAAATTATTTTTAGATTTGGTCTCACGGTCTCACAAAATTAGAATAGTCTCAAATAAACCTGAACCTATATATATATCTATATATATATATATATCTTATAATATATATATATAATATTATATATATATTGTTATGCATACTATTTCTATAGAAGTGAATACATTAGTTAATTATATATAGAAAAAGTGTTTTTTCTAATTGATTGATGATCCGAGAAGGTTTAAGTAACATGTTTATGTTTGTTAAAGTTCGGTGAAAGCTGATATGGAAAAATAAAAAAGTTATGCATGCGATCAATGATTGCATATGTTATTAGAACATCTATAGTGGTTAATCTCAATGATTGCTTATGTTATTAGAACATTAATGATTGCATATGTTATTAGAACATCTATAATAGGCCGGAAAGACTGTTTGATTTGCAAAAAAAAAAGGTCTTTCACGGTAAGATATGTCTTTCCGACGAAGGCCCAAAACCATATCTTTCTGGCTGAATGGGACGGAAAAACAATTGTGCCCAAAACCTCGCATCTTTCTTTCTTCTCGTTGGCGCTCTTCATCAGACATCATCGATTCGTGCCCTAGCTCTGATGTCAACTTGTAACGTCCCAAAATTAGTAGTAAATTTTCATTTTTAAATCATTAAATCCATACAAACATTTTTTCCAAAATCAATCAGAGTAAATTGTATTTTTCAAACATCAGAGTAGAACATTAATAAAGTGCAAAAAAATCCATCAGGGGATACTGTGCAGTCAAGCTGGACCCTTTCCTTTTGAACGGGAAGTACTTGAAAAATGTTTAAACCACAAAACCGTAAGCACAAAGCTTAGTGAGTTCCCCAAAATATCACGTATCATACATATTAGTGGGCCCAGCCCTAGGGTATATTTCAATCCATGTGAATGTTATGATCTAACCATAGTCTTACAATCACTTCCATTGCTACAGCCCAACTGCAGTCTTTTCTGCCATGATCAAAATGTGGTCTTCCTGTGCTACAGCCCAACTACAGTCTTTCCTGCCATGATCCAACCATGGTCTTCCATGTACGTCACAAAGAAAAACAAGTGTTATGATCCAACCACAGTCTTCCATATAAGTGATGTGATCCAACCACAATCTTTCATACATGTGTTGTGATCCAACCAAAATCTCTCATGCAAGAGTCACAAAGACAATCTAGCAACCTACATAGTATAGTGAGAAGAGAAGACTCACCCAACCCACGAAATCAGCTAAACCCCAACTCAATGCCTCGCAACAGATGCTACTGCGCTCCTATCAAAACGTGCAAGGCCCAACCTTAGCATACACTCTAAATCCAACAAATCTTGACCAAAAGTCAATCCAGGTCAACAAGTCAATGATCAAAGTCAACAACCAACAATATCAATCATTGACCCTCATGTCATGACCAACCGTGAGAACCTACTCAACTCGATTCCAACTCGAGCTGCTCCAACTCAGCCAACATCACGACGTGAACCCTCCGTGGTTATGTCGTGAGCATAACAGGACAATATAGTCGCAAGATCCTTCCTCGGTAACGTCGTGACATCCACATCGTCACGTCGTAACCACAGTCTGAGACAACCACTTAATCATTTAAGTCCTTAATCCATTAAGTCTTGCACTCCTATTTTCTAGAAAGCCTTAAGTGACTCCAAAGGTTAATATAAATGATAAATTTATGGACATGCATGCTCCATGCATGTTCTCTATCCAATATAGGTTAAAGGCCAAGAAAATGTCTCAAAACTCATGCAAGGTTCCCAATTGACAACCAAATCCAATATCTGAACCAAATAACACTCAAAAGGATTCAAGGATCCATAAAGTTTGCCAACTTTATGGAATCTCATCACTTCAACTGGCTCAACTTGAAGATAAAGGGACAAGGACGTAGATCTAGCAACCTAGAAGCATAAAGTTTGAATATTGGACACTTACAAAGGTCTAGAATATGCACAAGAGTATGATGGTGAGGTTTCCTTGCTGGATCAACACTCTAGAATACCTTCTTCTTCTTCAAGCTACCAACACACCAAAATGGGCCTAGAACCACCAAGAGGGATTAGGGTTTGGGTTTTTTGAGGTTGGAGGGTGATGGAGGCTGATAATGATCCCTAAAATCGACTTAATGGGGTTTAAATACGAAGGAAAACCTTAAAAGATCATGTGCTTGGGTTGTAGCCTTCTTCACATCGTGATCGCCTATGTGTCATCTTGTGACCACAGTCCCGATACGCGTTCCTCATTTTGGTCAGTCATGTCGTGGCCAACCCATGGTAACGTCGTGACACTCGGTTTTCTTCAAAAGCAAGCTTTTGACTCCTTAATGCCCTAAACCTAACCATTATGGAAAACAAACGATACAATTTTGATTTTGTAGGACAAATTGTATTTGGATTTTTAAATGATTATTGTGTAATTTTGATTTTATATGACAATTTGTATGTTTTAATAATTATTTAACAACTTTATCAATCATAGTATAGAACAATAGGGTAATATGGTTATTTTTTATCATTCAGCACAATCAATCATATGTACAATCAAACAATATGATTTTTTTCCCCGTTAATGGAATTCCCGGACAACACTTTCCGAGATAGCAACTATCAAACGAGACCTTAATGTTTTTTGTCACGTCATCTTTCCAGTAACTTTTAGCTAACAAAAAACTTTCATTGATGAAATACTATCTCCAATGATTAATCTTTTCAAAAACGTTTTTCTAAAATTAACTAATTTATCATTTATCGGTTTTAAATGTTTAATCAAGTCCAATTATATAATTTATTATAATTTTGAGCATTTTTCCGGTATTTTTTCTGAAGAAATCTTGTCGGGTACATATTTACCATTTACTAAAATATGTCATAATTATAATTTTATAAACACTTTATGCCAAAAAATGTAAAGCTAAAAAAATAACTTTATAGGACATTTTCCAGAACTACAAAAGATAATAAAATTCTCACACATCCTCTCTCTCTCCCCCCCACCCCACCCCCCGCAACACACACACACACACACCAATATATATTATATATATATTATATATATATATATTATATATAGAATATATATATATATATATATTATATACACAAACACATACACACAAAGAACCGTAAAATATTATGTAACCGTATTCTTTATAATATTTGATATTTTTTATTTTTAAAAGTTTGGGCAACTTCTTTTAAATTATATAACTTTTTTATAAAATAGATTCATTTTTATTTTATTTATTAAATCAAAATTGATTAACTAAAAAAAAATATAATATCTAAATATAATGGTCTAAGATAACTTGTTATTAAATGTACCGATCAAATATTCTAAAAACTAAAAAAAATTATAAAATTAGAAAAAAATAAATATTTGGAATGACCACTCTAAAATTATTCTCAAAAAAAATTTCAAATACCAAACAAAAAAAACTTTTCGCCAAGCATAACAAAAAGAATGAACTTTCCACCACATTTAACATTTTCTTTTAGAAACGTAAGCAAATTTATGGACAAATAATGACCCGGAAGCCTGGTGCAGAAAAAGGTTTACAACATGAGTACACATAACAGGAAACAGAAAATATTCGTAATTCAAAAGACATGCCTGGGAAGCAACCAGCGCACCGCCTCTATAAATTGAACACACCCCACTTCATTTCAACGCAAACTCTCTGCAGTCACTCTAAATCTCATTAATCTCAATCTACCAACCAATGGAGAAGTCACTACGGTGTTTTATGGTGGCATTGATGGCGCTGCTACTTTCCACCGGATACCTGCAACTCACGGAAGCACAGGCTCCATGCGATCCGGTGAAAATCAGTTGGTGTCTGCAGGCCATCGTCACAAACATGACACCCTCAGCAGACTGTTGCGAGAAGCTCAAGGATCAGGAGTCTTGTCTTTGCCGGGAAACAGCTGATCCGACTTTTGGTGGCTATCTTGGACTTGCCGGTGCCAGGAGGGTCGCAGCTGCATGCAACGTGACCTTCCCCATTTGTACATGAGAGCAGCTGCGGATGAATGTTCTACCACTTTCTATTTTCTTTCATGTGAGTGCAAGATATTGTTTTCAAAGTTCGTTTTCGATATTAAGTTAACTAAAGATTATCATATTTGTGTTTTCGAAGCATTATATCATTGTAAATTGTATCAAACTCAAACGTAAATTTGTATTATACAACTAAAACAAACATGAAAGTATCCTTCACTTTTTTTTTTTTAACGAGGCTCTTTCACCTCTTACTCATCAAATATTTAAGGGATAGGATTTCAACAATGTGATTATATCTAATTTTTATATTCCCTATTTATATCTTTTTATTATTATAATGTGTTCTGAGTGATGATGTTATGATGAGTATATGATTATCTTCAAATAATTAGACATAAAGGTTATGTAAATACCAAAGGGTTTGTATCCCAGCGATATCAGCCGGTGTCCTCCCTCTTAGAGATATTATATTTAATAGGACCGTTTAAAAATTGTATGATTTTTATACATGAAATTTCCCTTTTTGGTATTACAAACTGTTAGCAAAAGAAGTAGAAGAAAAGAAATTTCCCTTTGGTCTCCAAGAGCCGTTAGAGTTAAAAAGTGATAATATGAACTTTGTAAATTTTTTCTTCCTCTTTTTGTTGCAGCCAAAAGGAAGTAGAAGAAAATAAAAAGAATAGCTGGTTACAAAATGAGTTTTTCTTAAGGAGTGAAGGAAAATTAGATTGTAATTCATTTTGCAATTAATTGTTGATGTCGGAACAAGTGTGTTGTGGGTCATCTTGGGACCCACAAATTAATTCATTGTAAACATTTTTTTAATAAAAAAGGATGAATATAATGTACTTCTAAATTACACTTCTAATTATATCTATGTTTCTAACGAGACTTGAACCATGGACTTCAAAGAGGGAGGACAACACCAACACTTAGAAGCCCTTTGGTCGTTTTAAAATCTATTTGATAGAAGTTTTATGTTCTTCGATACACCTAGATTTGACCAGCATTGACCGAAAATTAAACCCTTCTTCCCTAAAAGAAAGTAGTCGCCGACCATACTGCCCCATACGCTTCTTTCTCTCTCATCCAAACTCTCCCCCTCCACCATTCACATCATCGAAAACGCTCGATTTCCATCAAACCACCGGTTGGAATTCCGTGAAATTAGCGTCACTCTCACCCATTTTCCCTACTCTACAAATCCCACAAAAATTCCACATCGATCCGTGACCGGAACAAGAATCGACGCCACCACCCATCTCAACCATTTTCCGGCCACCTCCGGCCGCCTCTTGTAATTTCTAATACAATTGTGTTCCCCTTCTTATAGGCTACAAACCCCACCAAAAATATCTTGAAAACCTTACCGAAAAATTTCGCCAGATTTTTGCAAATCTTGTCGAAATTCTTTTATTTTTGCGGAGAACTCATTCTCATGTGCTATTAGGCAAAGCTTTAAGCTTGGAGTGCGGGTTTACAACAACTCTAAATTTCGGATATTGGCGTGCTCATTTTCATATTTCAGAATCTGTGAACAACAATGGGGTACATTATTTCCTTGACTCTATTGATATTGCATGAATGTTTTAAATGTTAAATTATATGAAATTGCACCCGAATGTGTCTAGGATAGATGTCTTGAAATAATTTGGTGATTTGTTTTAGTAGTTCGTAGATTGTCGAATTGGTGTGTTTGGGTTATTTAGTTTGTTTGGTTTGTAGGGTTTGGTGATTTCATTTCAGGTTCATCATGTCCAGTTCGTGAAAGCATTCGGTCACGGGCAAAGGAAAACCTCCGGCTAAGGGACGAAGCAAGAATCTGAAAATTCTAAAGCTTCTGAAAAAAAATACGAGAGAGTACTACGAAAATGCACTGCCAAGAAAAAGTCAACTCAACAAAGTTTATTATTATAAAAACACTTGTCGATTTGAGAGTCCTCGAAGGAGTTTTCCAACTGTTCCGCAGCATTGGATAGGAAAATTTCTCTAACCTCACTAGCCAAGAGTTATGAGAACCCGACTAGAAACTTTCTTGCATCTTGTGGATGAGACAACGAGACTGCAGCCATCAGATTCCACCTTATAGGAGAACAATATGTACTTTCTTTTGAAAGGGTGAATGAAAAATGGGCATGCAAATCACGGACACCCATCAAACTCCCGAAAACATACCCAATAAATTTGACCATGAATCCTTTTGGAGGGAAATTACTGGTCTACCCTATTATTCTATCGGTAGAGATAAAGCTACCTCCATCATACACCCGTGCCTTCGCACTTCCCACCTTATCCTAGTTTGCACAGTTTTTGTTTGCAAATAAGTCGGTCAAGTCATAAAGTGCGAGCTATTTTTCTTATGGTGCATGACTAGCTGTGACAATCCTCTCCCGAAACCAGATTTCACCTCATTTTTGTTTTGCCAGAAATACTTAAACATTTGTGCCCAAATGACTGGCACTATATGCATGGGAGGATTTGTTAACCTTCTTACCCGATCCCATAATATTGAATTTCCATCTGACATCCAGCCCGTGTGTTGAATCATAAAAAGTGACCCTCTTGAACTTCAGCTACCGCAGCCGTCAAGCACCCGCAGTCGAGCTCCTTTATCAGCAACCGCATCCGGAGTCCCTACCTACCGCAGTCACTTTACTAGATTACTTTACTTGTCTTTTATTGTAATACTCTCTATTGTCCAGTATGCCTTGCATGGCTACTCTTAGAGATGTGATCTAGTGTACTTCATGAGTCTCTATAAATAGAGCTCATTCTCTTGTATTCACAAACACACATCTATCTATTCTGAATACACATCTCTGAAGTTATCTTTTCTATCTCTCTATCTAATTACTCATCCCTTCTTACTCTCAAATCTTACTAGAATACAACTGATTATAACCTCTCTTCGGAGCAAGTCTTTTGTGACTTAATCACTAAGTTTGATCGTCCTTATTAACTTGGTTTGAATGCATTCCTTGTTATGAATCAACTTATGTGTATACTTGATATAACAATTGTTGTCATTTCTATTTCTTTACTTTTCCGCAACTAACTCTCTAACTATCTAACTCTAACTTATTAATATTATTGTTGAGCTTTTAGATCCTTCGAGATTAACTATTCTGCAATCTACTTGTTCTAACGTTTGTTCAAGTGTGTCTCTAAGTTTTTCTCTCAACAATTGGTATCAGAGCCATAGTGGTTGCTTTTTTAAAACGGAACTCTGATTTTCAAAGGGCCTTCTATACCACTGAAGCTCATTTCTTAAAAAAAACTTCAAAAAATGGCACAATCGTTATCTCTGAATGTTTCCAACAGTGTTGGTGGTTCTAATCGAGCCCCAATACTGGTAGCAAATGAATATCATCACTGGTCACAAAGAATGGAAAGATACTTAAGGAGACTTGGTAGAGATGTATGGCAATCCGTAGAAGAAGGACCACATGTCCCAGTCCTTACACCAGTCCAAACTGACGGCGCTACAACCAGACTAGGAGGAGGTCAACCAGTCATGAACCGTCCCACCAAGGATGATCTCGATAAAATGGAAAATGATGCTGTTGCTTTTTATGAAATCTCCTGTGGAGTTGCTCCTGACAACTTCGATATTATCATAAATTGCAAATCAGCAAAAGAGATCTGGGAAGTTCTCAAGAATTTGTACGAAGGCTCAGAACAAGCACAAGACAAGAAGCTTACTACCGCACTCAATGAGTTCAACAACTTCAAAGCTCATACTGGAGAAAACTTGGAAGACTCCTTCAAAAGGTTCAACCTGATAGTCACCAAGTTATCCAATGCGGGCACCATCCACAGTAACCATGAAACAAATCTTCAGTTTCTTAATGGTTTGGGAAGACATTGGACTACAGCTAAGATGATAGTCCAAGGCGATAGAAAGATTCATTCTTTGTCACTCTACAAGCTCTATGGAGAATTGCAAGCACAAGAATCCACCGTACTCAAAGACTGTGCTGACTTCGGAGGACCACTTGCTCTCATAGCACAAGCTCCACATAATCAATCTTACTCTCCCTCGTATGACACTCCACCCGCAGTCATACGAAGCTGACTCAGAGTATGGCGATGAAGAAGAATTTCAGAAGGCTATTGCTCTGGTTAGCCAATAGTTCAACCGTCTACGACCTCCTTCCTTCCGCAAGAATCAACAGTTCAACAAACCTCCATTCAACCGTAACTTCGGTTCCCAGAATAACCATCCTCATTATCCTAAAAGTTCTCATCCACCACCACAATCTCAAAATAATCAACCAAAGGAAGCACCGCAGTCTACTCAGACCACTGACTCCGGTACTCCCTCAGAAGACAAGACTGATGTTGTAATTTGTCACAAATGCAACAAAGAGAATCACTTTGCAAGAGATTGTAAGGCCAATGTAGTGAAAGACAAAGCATTCTACCTTAGAATGGCTCAAGAGTTGGAAGATAAAGAAAAGGCAAGGGCATACGTAGCCCATGTCAAAAGAGACCATCAAGTTTGGTCGTCCGGAGACGAAGATGATGCCATCAGCAGTGTCAAAGGAAAAAGGAAAATCTGCATGTTGGCAACTACGGATGACGATGGGTCTACAAAGATGGACAACAACTACTGCTACATGGAAAAGGATGGAACTCTAAGCATCGTCGAACAGGTAAAACTTATGATCCAAACTCTAAACTATAGCATGCATGACTGTCAACCCTACATAGATGATCTTAATGACACTTATGTTGCCGCCCTTACAGACTATAACAAAGCATTAGATGAGAAGAGCATTGCGTCCCAAGAGGTGTTCCACGTGAGAGGACGACTGGATTGTTGGATTAATGTCTAAGTCCATAACTATATTTGGTATGTACTTGACCCGACCCGGCATGGTCCATTTGGGTTGCACTTCACCGGCACAATTTATATGGATAGTCTTTTGAGAATAGTATATTTATGATTTATATTAATATATTATAAGTTCTAATATATTAATATGGAATCATATTATTTAATTAGTATTG